CACATACACCCACTGTACCAACAGCTTTCCAGCCCACTCCCCTCTACCCGGGATGGACACTCAATCAGCCAGCATCAAAGTATCATTACTGCAGAGAAGCTTCGACAGCGCCGCAAGTAACCAGCACACCAGAGCCGGTATGGCGATATCTGAACCAGCTCTGATACCAAATTGCAAGGAAAATGAGCAAGAGCAATAGACAGAAAACCAAATTGCAATATCACATCGAAGACCGAATAGTCGTGTCCCAAGCAGAAAGCACAACGCATTGAAATACAAGCCAAATAAGAACAATACAATGAACTCAAATGCCAATGTCAACTTCTTATCGCCACCATCAACAATCTAATGATTGTCACCCTTCTTGATTGGCGCTCAGGGCCCAGACTTCCTCCACTCAGAACCTATACTAGCCTACCCATGCAGGATGCTGTATACATCACGTACGTGTCTTTACTCTCTCTCTCTCACCACCTTCTCTACCCACCTTGTGCGCCTCCTACTCGAAGACCATCATCACCCACACCAACGTCCGCTCGGCCCACCTGGCTATGGCTGCCGTGTGCTCACTGCCCCTAGCAGCGACCCTCACCTCTGTGCGCCCATGTGCACCCCCAGCCTCCAGCACCCAGCGTCCTCGACCGCTCAATGCAACACTGATGGGCAAGGCCAGAATGTGCCTCCCTGCTCCCAGCACTTTCCTATATGGAAAGCGCACGTCTGCTCTCCTCTGGATTGGGGCTGGAAATCAAGTTCCCGGTAGCCTGGCTACGTTCCAAAGTGTCTGCGCCCAGGCCCAATGCATCTGGCCTGGGCCCACAACAGTTAAGCAGCCCAACTGTGCGACGCGGCCAGCTTCACTCTCTGCATTCCCATTGGCCGAAGGGCCTCCAGCCACGTCGCTGCCTGGAAGAGCCCAGAGGCTCACAATGTCGTGATCACAATGGTGTGGACCTTGTAACCAACTGGCGCGTGGAAACTGTATGGCGCCCCTGAAAGCAGAAACGACGAAAACAAGGCCTCAGGTTGTAATGCAGGCCCGCTTTCCCTTAGTGCGGGCATGAGGCTTGCTGGGGGGGGCTACAGAGTATGGCAAGAAGGCCTTGCGAGGACTCATTCTTCACAGTATTAACAAAAAAAAAAAAAACAAGACAAAGAAGAAGAAGAATTACTGCATCAGCAGTTTCTCATCATGACACCAAGGCTGCGGCGCATCATTACTTTGAAAAAGTGATCTTCCGAGTGCCTGCAAATCAATCGATTTTCTGCATAGAAAAAATATTGCATAACAAAATAATCTATTGCGTGCACTGAAGATTTTATGTGTAGTGTTGATAGCTTTGTTATGTTTCCAGGAAAAAAAATATGTTTTCCGAATCCAGAAACCAGTACTACTAAACTGGCTATACATACCAACTTTTTCACAGATCTCTATGCTTTGATAGGAACTGGAAGTTCTTTTTATGCAAATTCGAAAGATATCCACACGCGCAATCCGACAAGGCCTCTGTTATTAGGGTGCAGTATGAGACCTGCCTGCCCCTCGGACGACTGTTGTTACCATTGATGTACTTGCCTTGGGGACTGGGTCCTGGAATAAAACCGTTTGAAAAGATAAAAATCACTTTCTTAAACACATTCAAACCTAATCATCATTCTTTGAATGTCATTGCTCCCCACCATTCTTTATGTGAAACAAATAGAGAGAGAGAGAGAGAGAGAGAGAGAGAGAGAGAGAGAGAGAGAGAGAGAGAGAGAGAGAGAGAGAGAGAGAGAGAGAGAATCATGGCAGCGATCCGGACTACCGGACAGGGATCCGGACCATCTGGTGTCCAGTGTCCGGTCCACTTGTCTGGATCCCTGTCCGGATTCCAGCCCGTCGGGCCAACGGTCAAATTTTTCTTTGGCGGCCCAAGGTGTGTCGTCACACCCTGGCCCGCCAAGCAAAAATACAAGCCCATTTTTTGGAGGCTCTGGAGGTGTATCCGGTAAGGCCGGAACGTTTTTTTTTGTGCTTGTGATTTCTTTTCTTCTTTTTTTTTCCCTGCCCGTTTGAATGTCGTTCTGGCAAAGTGGCGGCCTGTTAGTGCAAGCTGGCTTCAAATTCCATGTCCTGCCTCATGAGTTTGGCCGCCCCCCCTCCCACTTCGACGTTAGAATGCTTACACGCCCGCCAGTGCCGCCATTGCGCAAGGGAGGACGAAGCAGAGCAGCGTGGTGGCCACAGCAGGCAAGGCGCAGATGTGGAGCAGGCGCGACAGGGCTAGCAGCGGGCACAGCAAGGTGGAGCGAGGAGCCCAGCACTGAGCATAGCAAGCACGTCAGTCTTTCTCTCTCTCTCTCACCTCTTCACTGGCAAGGGAGGACGAAGCAGGGCAGCGTGGTGGCCACAGCAGGCAAGGCGCAGATGTAAAGCAGGCACGGCAGGGCTAGCAGTGGGCACAGCAAGGTGGAGCGAGGAGCCAAGCACTGAGCATAGTAAGCACGTCAGTCTTTCTCTCTCTCTCACCTCTTCTTCATCTTCCTCGTCCTTTCTTTGTCATCATCTTCCTCTTCGTCTTTTCGTTGATCCTCTCTCACCCACCTCTCTCTCTCTCTCTCTCTCTCTCTCTCTCTCTCTCTCTCTCTCTCTCTCTCTCTCTCTCCAACTCTTCTTCCTCCTCCTCGTTCTTTCATCGTCATGGTCTTCGTTCTCCTCCTCCCTACTCCTCGCCGGCTTGCTCTCCCTCCCCGCCCGCCCACGCCATGTGGCGTTTTGGATCGGCATCAACTTCCTGTGCCCCCTCCTCCTCGACATCTTCGTGCTCCCCTTCCTCCCCCCACTCCACGTCTTCGTCCTCCTCCCCTCCTCCTCCAGGTTACTGTCCTCCTCCTCGTCCGTTTGTTGTCCTCCTCATCGACTTGCTTTCCCTCGGCCCCCCCACCATCGACTTGCTTTCAGAGGAGCATCGACCTGCTTTCCCAAACTTCTACCTCCTCGCCCTCTTCATTATCATCTTCGGGCTATTTTCATGTCACCGCCGTCCTCCCCCTGCAAGATGGGTAGGAGTGCACGCTCTTACCATCAATCCTATATGTTGTCACGGACGGAATTCTCAACAAAAAAAAGGCCCTGCTAGTGCTACGTTTGAAGCACAAGGCTGGCCGTTATTATGGCCAGGTCCGTGCTTTCCTATCACGAACAAGGCATCAGTAGGGCCTGCCTCTTTCAGTTCAGGGCCATCTGAATCCTTACACAACATGAACCTGCCCGTCATTGTGACCAGGTCCATGCTTTCCTAGCATGAACAAAGCCTTCTCCATCCTCAGTGTACACCGTGATAAGCATGCCTCAAGCTTCTCTGTGTCATGTACCCCCTCGCTTGCCGACTTTATCCTAGTTTTTTTTTTTTTTTTTTGGGGGGGGGCGCAATTCTTATAAACGGCTGAGGGACTGAAAAGCACGATACAGCCTTCACATGAGGAAGAATGAGGGCATACTCACACTNCTGAAAAGCACGATACAGCCTTCACATGAGGAAGAATGAGGGCATACTCACACTTTCCTGTTTATATCTGACTGCAATCAGGTCCAGAGCTAAGGAGAAGAAGTCCTAGTGCTAGGCCCGTTTGCCTCAGGTTGGATGGATATCCAGCGAAGCGGCGCTCCTGTAATTCCCAAGAGTTGTGGCTGCATGCACGCCAGGTCACATTCATCATGCATGCCAGATGAACACTGTGACAGTCAAATGAGGCCATACTCATACAAGACTTTTCTAAATGCATCTGACTGCAATTAGCCCAGACCTGGATGAATCTGACAGCAATCAAGTCCAGAGCTTAGTAGAAAAAGTCATCGTGTGAGTATGCCCAGAGGAGTCCTGATTCTGTCACACAAGTACACCACTAAACCACCAGTACCTCTGAAAGTCACGGTTGTATATGAGCCGCGACGTGCTGGGCCGAACAAGCTTGGCAGCTCCAGTTCAAACTCATTCAAGTGGAAAAGTTGTGCCTCTAGTTTTTGTCACAGCCGATGTATGGGTGAGGTACTGGTGGTTTAATTCAGAGTAATCGTGAATAACAAGCTCGAAAGATGCACCAATTTTGCCCAGTCATCCCCAAGTCTGAGTCAAAACACCCGTCTGAGTGAAAACACCCTGATTGATGGTATACTCAAACTAGGCCCTTATAGTTGCAGAATAGCAAAATCAGCGGCCAGATAGAGTCCTTTTAAAGGGACTCGACCTGGCCACTGATTTTGCGATCATGTGACTGTGAGGGCCTCGTGTGAGCATGTTGAAACTGTGTTTTTGTTTCTTTCTGCCTTTTGTTTGTTTTCTTTGGGCCTTNATGTGACTGTGAGGGCCTCGTGTGAGCATGTTGAAACTGTGTTTTTGTTTCTTTCTGCCTTTTGTTTGTTTTCTTTGGGCCTTGTTTGATTGTTGGCCCTCTTCCTTCTGGACTTTCTTGCTCACAGAAAGAAGCGTAAAAAAAAAAAAAAATGAAAAAAAAAAAAAAGAAGAAAGAAGCCTGAAAGAGGGAGGGTTAAATGTGGGGCCAACCAACTGGCCTAGCTCAGTTGGTACAACCCTGTAACTGTTGAAATACAGACCTGAGTTCGAACTCCACTCGAAGCACATGAGTAAAATATTACAATTCCTAGGGCAGGTCAGTTCGATGATCATATGTCAAGGCCGTCGCCCTTTTTTTTTTTTTTTTTTTTTAAAAGGAAATGTGGGGCTAGGGCGAAGTGGGAGGCGAGGTGGAAGGACGGTCTAAATGGCTTAAAATTTGAAAAACCTGGGGGGTAAGTTAGCAAAGGGGAAAATAAGGGTGTCGGGGGAAAAGGGTGGGAGAGGGGGGGGAGGAGGGCAGGAGGAAGGGATTGGGAGGAGGTGGGAAGAGGGGGGGCCGGTAAAGAGAAGTCGAGGAGGGGGGGGTTGAAGGACACGGGAAGGAAGGGGGAAGAAGGGCGGGGGGTTGCAGGAGGGAAGGGAAGGGTCCTAACACAAACGCACCGTATGCGCCATGGCGGTTGGATTTGCACTCTCCAGAATCCTAGAGGCTGCCCTCTTGATATCCTTCTGTAAGATGGCAGGGGGGGGAACAGATTTTTCAGCCAAAATAAACAAACCAAGAAGAATAAAGCTAAGTATAATTAAGCCGGCCCCAGAAGCTGGCACCATCATCATCATCATGCACTCCTTTTTTTGGTTTCTCTCAAAGCTCAATGATTAACCTTTTTTTTTTGCTTTTTTTAAAGCCCAGGTGGTTGTAGAGGCCGAATTCCGGACATACGGAGGATCACTAAAGCAGACGCTTATCGGAACCCTGAGGAACCCAAAGAAACTGGGGGAGATCTACAATTGGAAGCTAAGATCGGTCATGCAGATAGACAACGTGGTCCAGGACTTCAGTAAGAAGTCACCAAGAAAGTATCTTAGACGCCTGATTTCGCAAGTAGTTAGACGCCTGATTTCACTAGTAGTTAGAGAGCGTTTCGGTTTGAGTATGGCCATCGCCACACCACTCTCGAAATGTGAAAAATGAGAATGAACTCCCCGCTAGAACATGGCCAGATGCACCAGTCATTTTTTTGTGTTTTTCACATTTCGAGAGTGGTGTGGCGAGGTTCTATGTCAGCGGATGCGGATGCAGTGGTTAAACCCGCTGGTACACGACCCCAGCCTTGCAGAAAAGGAAACTTGTCGCCATAAGAGAATGCCAGGGCTCGGGAAAGGCTCAGTAGAGCGATGGGGCAGGACGCCCATGGACCCACACTGCGTTGGTGTTTCCACACTGCATGGACAGAACGACCTGCCTCTCTGGCACGAGCAACGAAACAAGTAGAAGAAAACGACAATAACAATAAAGGGGGAGAGGGGGGGGAAGGACAAGAAAGACAATGGGAATCAATAGCTTTGTTGTCCATTCGAATGCCCCTAGCCATATGCTTGCTCCAGATTCCGTGTTTCTTTTAATATGCCCTGCCACGAAGGCAGGGTGTTTTTGTACTCTGTGGACGGCTGTTTCTTTTCATAGCAGCCACTGGCGCCTGTTATCAAAGGCTATAAGCAAAACAAGTGGGCACAGAAGGCCCCCTGAAGAGTGACAGGCGGCTGTTATCACGGGCACCAGCCTTTAGAGAATTAGAAAGGGGATTTTCTTTCGTTTTAGTGGTATATGAATCTGCTCCCGTTCTGGGTTAGATACGGGTGCACGCACTTCTTTGAGGGTCGTTTGAGAATGACGAGGGGGCACCAGCCTGTTTTTTTTTTTTCAACTCTTTTGTCATTTTCATATTTCGTGACACGCGCCCAAGGCCAAGTTTCTAGACAAATACAGGGGCTGGGTTTGCCCGGGGTGGCACATAAGTGAAAACCACGCCCTTCTTTTCTTACAATCGGATGAGGGCAGGTCTAGCTGTTCAGTTTCACAGCGAGCGGTACCAGTACCACCCTCAGTTTTCCAATCTCGGAACTCATAGGCTCAGCAAAAATTCAAATTTAGGCCCTACATTTAGCCTTGGGTGGACTGGTGCTTTAAGACAAAGTTCAATGGCAGGGTTAGAATGGTTGAGAGCTACGGAAAGTGATCAACAACGGTATTACGGCCTGTGAACTTCCTGAGTGTTTTAGGACCTGTTCACAGAAGAAGGTCCGGATCGTGCAGACAAAGAATCTGGTGATTGGTGACTAATTGCACAATCAACGAGCCTATGCGGCTCAGAAGGTGCTTACCTGCAAGTCCGTAGGTTTGCCCCACCCCAGAGTGGGACCATAACTGACCGAGTTTCACGGCTGAAACAAGAAGTGAAACCATTCCCTGAGCCATAAGAGCCGTACTCTGCATCGGCTTGGCAGTTAAACCACCAGTACCTTTCCCTGCTTGAAAACCAAATATGTGGCTAGTTCACGGCCACATTTTTCGGGGGTTGGTACCAGACTGAAATGGCCGGCAACACCAGCCAAAAGTAGGCCCGCCGGTTCGTTTTTTTTTGGTGTGCAGGGCCATTTTAGGCTCGGCGTCAATAGCTGGGCATGGCACTGGTGGTTTAACCCTAAAAACCCTAAGAACCCTAAACCCTAAACCCTAAAAAGTCGTAAAAACCCTAAAAAACCCTAAGGGTATAGCACAAATTGCATGCCTGTCTAACAGGGGGCTGCTGCAAAATTGTGGGGTCACAAGCGTATGCTGCAAACTTTATATTATTTTATTCAGGGTTGCACACCCCGACGGTCGGCGGCCCTTGACTGGTCGGCTGCCGACCCGCCGACCGATCGGCTGGTCAGCACCTAGCAGTCGGGGATCATCGGCACCCCGCAC